TATTTCTCTAGCGTAGAAATCGGCCCGTTAATGAACTCTTTACGAACAATTATGATTTTATTAGTCATCATTTAGATTTGTTATTTAAGGTTATGTTTATAGACAAAATAATTGTAGTTTTGGGGCGCGAAAATGTGTAGGGTATTCGTATAATATTTAGCAGATAAATAATCTTCAAAAATTTAATGGTGTAAGAAACGTAGACACCGTTACGTCGATACATTTTTAAACAATACGAATTATGATGAATTTTCGCAATAGCAAGTGGAAATAATCGCAAAGTGCCTGCCACTTTTACCTCGATAACATCGGGTGATATTTTCTAGTATATAAGAATGGGCTAGGATGACCTTAACGCCGTAAGAAACGAAAAGATATAAATACGTTCCGATTCCTAAAAACATTGATAGTTATTTTCTATTATTATAGAATACTATACTATTATACCATTTGCTTCAAATAAAATCACACAGTAATAAATATAATTGATTTGCAAATAACTCATCTCTTCTTCACATAACTATGCCATTTATCCACGATTTATAAATAAGACAATTTTTGAAAACCAAAAAAAAAAAAAAAAAAAAAAAAAAAAAAAAAAAAATTAAAAAAAAAAAAAATTTTAAAAACAAAAAAAAAAAAAAAAAAAAAAAAAAAAAAAAAGGATACAACTTTCTTCATAATAGTTTCTTTTTTCCTTTTTGACTCTGGTAAAACATTGAGATAAAAGGCAATTATCATAAGTATGTTGTGGCTGTATATCTTATAAATTTAATTCATTGATTAATACGGTAGTAAACTCACGAAAAAGTAAATTAAAAAATATAAGCCACATCACTTTTTATTTATTATTTTTAAAAAAAAATTGCTTCACGCAAGCAGAGCCATGTTATGGAACATGTTATATATATGAAAACTAGAAAGAAAAAGCCTATAGACGCAATATAGTCTGTCTGAGCATTGCGCAGCTCTAACATGTATATGAAGTTTCTTCATAAGCATATCACTAAATACATACGAAAGAGTAAAACTGTATGTCTTTTTTTTCTTTGTCTCAGGAATGTTCACATCTGCATTTATAACGAGGGCCAGACAGTGGCGGGAGTACATTCACCAAAGAGTCACAAGACTAACTACCGTTACAGACAAATGAATTAAAACTGAGCATATACTACAACAACAGAATACTATTAGTATGTTTCCTCTTGTAGATATGGAATTTCTCATGACTGACTCATTGAGTGGGCAAAGGAAAATTTCTCCTCCGCTTGGACATTGGGGTCCTCACAGAAGTACAATAGTATCATAGTTTGAATGGTGAGGTGGTTGAAATCTATTGATGTGACTTTCTTAATAGAGTTGAGATGTATTGTGCTATGAAGCGTTTGCCTAAAGTTTAAAAGATGGAATATGAAATCAACTGAGGCAGACAGCACTTGCGGGAATTTCGATCGTTTCTGAAGGGGAGCCATTTTTTACGTGTATTCCGTGACATCGTGACTGCAGGTCAAGCGTTGTGGCCACAGTCATGCGGTGTGACCGAAGTCATGCTGTGTGATTACAAGACAGAGAACGTGACCACTTGTCGTAAGGTGTCCCAAATTGACATAAGATGTGACAAACTGTCAGAAGATGAGGCCACTTGTCGTTAATATGACCAAATCAGGCTCTGAATAGGATTCGCCAAATGAATTGCACACTTTTCAATATTTTCTTTTTAACAACATGCTGCATATTGTGTCAATTGTAAATTTTGTAAACATTAAGCCATTGAGTAACAGAATTCATTTTGTGGTTTTCTCACTTTTTTAAGCTAAACAATTTTTTTTTCTATTCACTTGAATTTGAGAATTTCATATGCATTTTTCTTCAAATTACTGAATGCATGTTTAAGAATGTTTTAAAGTTTTCAAATAAATAAGTTTTTAAGGACATTTGTGTTTTCCATATGTCTCTTAGGAGTAGTTAATAAGCAAAGACGATTAACTTTAGATATAAAAGAAACTAACCTCACCAACGTTAGAGGTGAGATAAACAAGCATACACATTTTAAAAACAGCATGGAAACACTATTTTTTTATTATTTTATTCCCAGTAAATTCAATCACCAGCTAATTGGAAATATCATTCTCGTGTTTTTAAAGTTCCAGATTTCTAACCAAAAGATTACACAATTACTAGCCAATATACCCGACGTTCCCTGGGATTCAGTTCATCGTGGAGATCCTGTTGTTTCTCGATTGAATCCTAATACCTAGTGGTACCTAGTTCCGTGTCTAAATACCGTTCGCTGTGGGATCCCGTTCTATAAGATGCAATTTTGTTATCACTAACTTAGGGGGGCCTTAAACAAATTCTTCAGACACACTTTTAATTTCAAATTTCAAAGTTATCCCATGCATTAAATCTGTATGAATTTATCAAAACATTGATTGGATATTATTAAACCTGTATAAATTTATCAAAACATTGAGTAGATATTATTAAATCAGTATGAATTTATCAAAACATTGAGTGGATATTATTCGGTAAAAGTTCCGCTTTGGCGGTTCCCGCAAGAGTTTTGCCTCTACGTGGCGTGACCGACCAGCAAGGTAGCATAGACTACCCGAAGCTTAAAAACTCACGTCACTACGTCTGTCTCCCAAGCCGTAGGAGAGGGGTTACTGCGGTAGATTCTGCCCGGGAGTAGATAATAAAATAAAGACTAGACATTTTTCAATTATATGGCTAATAAAAGTACAGATTTCGAAGCGAAATTATTATATACACCAGAACTCGATTAATTTTATCAACTATTCTCTCATTTCTATGACCAACTTTGATTTATCCTCTACCGCTTTGACAGTCAGATATAAAGCTACTTAAAAAAAATATATATATATATCTTAAATTGGAATTAACATCTCCAGTTAACTAGTTTACCGACTGCTCTACTACTGTAAGAAAATGTGCACACCGAACGGATTCTCATTTTAACTGTCCGCTAAAGATATGAAGATTCTCTTATGAACTTTCTACTGATATGGTCCCAGCTGCAGGTCAGACAAAAGAGCAACCAATTCTTTAGCTGCACGGTAGTCAGGTGGGAACGTCCTCTCGCCACACGCTATTCAGTTTTACAACGCTTCTCCCTAAAAAAAGTGTAACTAAAAAATAAAAACCACAATACTGTTCTTAGTTAAATAATTATTTTAATATTTTGTGTGGGTTTTTTTTGTCGTTGTTTTTTGTGTGCGTAACACAAGAGGGTCAAGCTATTTCCGTTTTGCCAACCCTGCACGGAAAGTTGATAATTAATAAAATATCCGCATCACATCCTTAAGCCCATAAATATCAAAAGCACCCTTCAGTCGTAGGGATTGCTGGGCGCACACGATGGCTCTAAGGTTAAGTGATACTTACATTTTAACAAGGATCTCTTCCGTAGCTGTCCAATTAAATGAAGAATGTTGCAAAACTAAATTCAAATATGTGAAAAAATGCTTTCTTTTATTTTGAATTTGTCAAAAAATTTTATGGGGACTATAATGATTAAAGGGGCGAGAAAAGTCTAGGGCCAAAGCGTACCCTAAAGTGTGTCATAACTAGAGTGAATATAGTTTACGTCCCGCTGGTGCGAAATTTAAGATGTCGTTGGTCATTATTACGGCTAATTTTGCCATTTCCCACTCGAAACTTTGAAATGTCACCTCACAATAGTCTGAATGAAACAACCAATTCAAGTATGCGCCAACATAATGCACCCCTGCATTTTGAGTGTGTTCGACTGTCATTACCACCCTTAATTATGCACCCCTTCCCTCACGCTGATCAATGGTACAGTATGGGGTTGATTCAAAGCTTATGGCTAATGATTACCCCAATGAAAGGAGCAAATTCAGTTAATATAAGGCACTGGACTCAATAATGTCTCCAACAATTTTTTAAGAAGGTTCTTTCCCAGTTCAAAAGGTTTAAAAGAAACATCCAATTCAAGTATACTCAAAAATACACCTCTTGATTTTGAAGTAATCCCAAACAATCCAACATTCTCTGGAGGCCGTGATGTTGGTCAGAGCTTGAACATCATTGCAGGGTGAACATCATTGCAGGGGAAGACGTGTTTTCTGACATGTCAAATTTATATCCCGATGTCATTCAAAACATGAGAAAAATTTTGGTTTGGCAAATATATATTTAAATTTTCAAAAAGTTATTCAGTAAATCTGGAACCAGGACTTGTTAAATTAAGGGAAAGAAAGTAGAGAGCATGTAAAAAAACTATAACACCAGTGCAAAAAAAATAGTATTTTTAAATTATTATTTTGTTTCGCATTATGAAGTAAAGCAAGTTGGGAATTTCATTTAACAAACCCAAACTGGATGGTGCGCACAGGAAATGAATTCATTTCCTGAATTTAAGGAACAAATATCCATCTTGAGTCTGTTTACAAGTTTGTATTTGAGTGAAAATGTTTTGCAATATTTCAGTTATTAACTTAGATAATTCCAGATTTAAAATATTTATCCAATAACAACGTATTATTTAAAGTGCATAAAGATCGAATCATTCCTATTGCAAGGTTATGTCGGGTAACTTTAAAATAAAAACAAAATAATATTTACTATGAAACTTTTTCTGGACTCCAAAAGTTTCAAATGATTATATTCTGCATTTTATTTGAAAGTAACAGAAATTATATTTAAGTTCATTTCCGATAATTTATTTCGAGGCCTGGCAAAGTGCGATTATAAAAATGAAGACTGCTGACTTATTCAATAAGTCCAAGTAAGCTTAGGACAAAAAAAAATATACACGATATTTTTCACACCATGTGTTTATATTGATTTTAAATGTTTTATGTTATAGCAGTAAATAACTATTTTTAGAGCGTTAGGGGTGTCCTTTAAAAAAAAAACCCAAAATCTCTTAAATTCTTACATTATTTAGTTTATATTTTTAAATTTCAGAAAAACAATAATTGAGAAGAACAACGCACTCCTACTAGGATGTGTGCCCTAATTTGTAACACCTAATTTAAAAGCTTCGGCCATGTAGCCCACAACCTGTTAACGTCACGTAGCCATATTCGTGCACGGATATGTGATTTCTGTGTACTCCAGCTGTGCTGCCTATGCCATGTCAGCTACACAAACACCAACATCACTACACAATGTCTCGCCTAGCATCCAATGGCAGCCCACATTGAGTATAGAATCCAGACACACACTTTCCTCAGATGCATCCTCGTCTTACACATCTACTCGGCGTTCGGTACAGTAGCGCCCACTTTTCGGCCCAGCAGAAGCTCCGTTTCATCCAACGACTGCCCACCTGGTTATTACGGGCCTGAATGTGTGAGCAAATGTCCTGCACTCTGTGACGTGACGTGCACCGATGAGGGGCACTGCATTTCATGCATCAGGCCAGGGGTTAAGCTTCCAGGCTGTCAAGACGAATGCGACCAAGGAACGTACGGGCTGAACTGCCAACATAATTGCAGCGAAGCGTGTCAGAACTCAGAGTGTGACGGTTTCGTGGGCCAATGTCGTCAGTGTGGGGAACCTGGCGTCAAACTTCCTCACTGTAACATTACCTGTGTTAGCGGATCTTACGGCCAAAACTGTGAGAACCGATGTCCACTAACGTGCAAGGAGTCGTGCGACCCAGTAAACGGTACATGCATGGTGTGCAGTTATGGGCAAGGGCCTCAGTGCATGGTAAACTGCGCCATCAATATCGACCTGGAGGCTTGTAAGTTATATTGTCCGGCTAGATGTCTGACGCTCTGTAATACGACGAATGGGAAGTGCAGTTTTTGTGCGCCCGGGTATGAAGCCCCCTTTTGTAACGCCACATGCCGACCAGGCACTTATGGCAGCAACTGTAAAGAGACCTGTTCCAACCGTTGCAAAGACGGGCTTTGCGATCCTTTCACCGGGGCCTGTTTCAGTTGCAGTGACGGTTATGTGGGCAGGAAATGCAATGGCCAGTGTATCCCGGGATATTATGGCCAGGAGTGTGACCTCGTATGTCCGGAGACGTGCCTCGGCGGGTTGTGCGACTTTGTGAATGGCAGCTGCCACGCGTGCCTGAATGGTTACAAAGGTCAGCAATGTGATGAGCTCTGCGTGGACGGGAGGCACGGCGAGAACTGCACCATGGAATGTCCTGCCAGCTGTTTAAAGGCCTGCGATCCCGTGACCGGTGAGTGCTGGCACTGCGCCCCGGGCTATAAAGGGGCGTACTGCAACAACACCTGCCCCAACGGGACCTACGGCGACGGCTGCACTAACATGTGCCACAAAGGGTGCCACCAGTTTATTTGTGATCACGTGAGCGGCGACTGCTTGAAGTGTAAGCCGGGATTACAAGGTTTAAAATGTGATGTGAAACACGCTGTCGGGGAAGGCTCAAAGTTGCATCTGGCCTTGTATGTGACATTTGGTTTGCTGACCGTTATCCTTTTGTTCGGTACATCAATGTGTGGCTACAAGCACATGGTAAACAAATATGAGGCTAAGGCCAGAGGAAGCTCTAAAAACGCCAACAAGGACAGCAGCATCGAGGGGGAGCAAGGAATCCCCTACGATAAAAAAAAAGTGATTCGATCCATAAACGAGTTTAATCTGCTGAATGCAGATACGGCTAATCACGTGACACAGGAGGAAAGGGAGCGCAACAGGAAGCTCGTCAAGTACGTGCTGAGTCACGGTAAGACTTACACCCCGCAGGGATGCGGTGGTGCTATGAAAAGACTGGAGCAGCTGACTTCGGACAACTCCAACAGAGCCCTGGCCTTATCCTCTGCCTCAGTCGAGAAGACGGACATACACCAAAAACAAAGTCTCGTTCTTCCTGATCGGTCGGAGGTGAGCCTGACCATATCGACGACAGCAGACAACAAACAGGTCATGGAGATTAACGCCTCCACGGAGAGGCATACGGTACAGCAGGTTTTCAATGGAGTCAATCAAATTTCTGAAACCACGACCAAATTCAACGCAACTTACAGGATGAGCGACAAGCCCGTGCGCGGCGATAAAACTAGCAACGTAGAAGTGTCATCGGTGGCGAACTTCAAAAAAAGGAAACCACGGACCCTGGAGGAATGTTTCAGAGCCCGCAACACGGAGCATGTGTGTCAGACTTCAGAGGCTAGCGACGAAAACGCCCCCCTGGATCTAAACGTAGTGGTGTCACAGCAGCCCGCTGAAACCAAGGCCGTGGCCGTGACGAGCACCACGGTGTCTGTTGTAGCTCATCAGACCGAATGTCAAAATAAGCTGGCGGACTCGATGACGATGGTCATGACTCAGTCAGTCAAGTCTGAGCGGTGCAGAGATGCGACCAGCGCCGACAGTTTGTACGGCGTCTCATCGCAGGAGTTCTTCCAGGAGACCACATCGTCCAAGAAAATAGACGACCCGACCGAAACTACGGGAGTTACGTTGAGCGGGAGTCTCCGATCACGTCAGCAAATCTCGGGGACGGCGGTGGCAAGAGTCGCCAGTGCACACAGGCTCAACAAAAAAGACGCCGCCAACAGCACGCCGGGCAGCGGTCATCTTAACCGCGTGATATCAGAACACGCAGTGTTCCAGCGGTTGTCAAGCGACCACCCGTCCAGCAAGCCTGACTTTGTTTTCATCAAACAAGCAACACCGGGGGCGAAGAGTAAGCAGAACCTTCCAAACACCAGTTCTCTCTCGGCGATTTTAACCGACGGCCAAGAAGAAGTGATGACAGAAGGAATCAAAATGCCAAACACACAAACAAACTCACTCGCGCTCAATTGCGAAGACATATCCAAAGTTGAAACCACACACCAGCAAAGTCGACACGATCTTGTGAAAGATGACCCCAAGTCCACTTGTTCGCTTTCTTCCCGCAGAGACAACAGCGGTAGCTCCAGTCAGATGTCTGTCTCGGCTAACGTTAAAAAGAATCGGTCGGACAAGTTGAAATTGGAAAATACTGAAGAGCGTGTTGCGAAGGGAGGAAATAAACCTCACAATGATTTCACCGGCACGAAGGTGTCTGGTGTCCGTGCTATGAAGAGCACCGATAAATTTGTGCACAGGAAACGCTACGCTATTGACTCCAGCAGCTCTAGTGAGTCATCGGCGTCACTGAGACCCAAGCCGGATGCCTTCGACGAGATGATTTTCAATTCAAATTTCAACCCTGTTGCCAGCAATCATCGAGCTGATGAATTTTACCAGAGCCACAAGTCGAGAGCGTCGTCTAAGGTCTTAACGTCGGCCGGTTCTAAGAGCAGCTTGCCAGCCTTTAGGCCAAAGCAGTACCGAAAGCTGTCGCCTCCAAAAGTGAAGAACCATGCCTCCAGAAAATCGGTGGAGCATTCAGATTACAGCGAATCGTCGGGGAAAGATGAGGCAGAGGTCAAGAGTTTAGCGAGGAGGTCCGACGTCAACACGCACTTACTCAGAGACGAACAGAGACGAGAGTCTGCGGGACCCACAGCGCAGTTCTCCTACGTGAGATCATCGTCGTCGGCTATGATCAAAGGTGAGCTCCTGAGTCCGAGGCTGGTCCGCTGTGCCACCACACGGCAACTCTCACCCCTGTACGGACATAAACCGTCCACGCCGATGGTGAGTCGACTCCAGCCACTGCCCACACCACCCCCAGAAGGCAGGATGAAACTTAAACCTGTTAGCAAGAACTCCAGCATATCTCAGAACTCTTGCGGATCAACCCACGGGACCGAGTTTTCTGATGGACCATAAAAGTCTGGGGGAGAAAAGTTCAATAAAATAATGAATCTCTCTTGCATTTCTTAGAGTGAACTTGTGATAGTATGTATACATTTGGAGTGAATGCCGACTCCACTCAATCATTAAATTTCCATTAAAATTTTGACATTTAATTGCTTCAATGTCATCTCTGCATTTTCAAAATTAGACGGAGATTACGCATGTTTTTAATAACTAACTTAAAGTCGCATTTAACAATTAATTTTTTCTTTCACTTTCGGCGTTCCAAAAAATAGTTGGCACTCTCTAGACCACTTTAGTTAAATGTGTGCTCTGATGTTCACACCAATCAACTCCTAATTATACTTTAGCAATGTGAGATCCACTGTAGCGATTTCACACACAATAAAACGCCTGAATCTAAAGGTATTTTTTTTTAATAAAGTAAATTAATAAGTTATACTACATTTTTAAATTATGTATTTTTTTAAAAAGCTGGATTCAGCGATAAGTATTGTTAAACTAAACAAAAACTATGTTTTCCATCTCATTTACAATCCCAACGGAGATACCCTGGGGACTTGGCTATTTTCTCAGTTAATTACTGACCCAAAACCAGACTGCCCGATGAGCAAAAATTTTCCGAAATGACGGCATTTGTGTTATTGATTGACAGGATGGCTGAGCCACTAATTGAAGCGTCCTGTCAGCGCATAGCATGATTCCTGTAGTGATCTGATCGTTTAAAAAAGAAATCTAAAGTTTCAGATTAACTTGTCTGTTGTATGTAATTACAGACTATATTTCTGTTCAAACTTGTTTCACCAAGACTGTGTAAAATGTGGTGAACATGATAGTCATCATTTTTAAAAACGACATTAAAATCTGATCATCAATATAATATAACCAGGCTTAATGAAAAAACATTAAACAGCTGAAGGGCTTGAGTCTACCAATTCATTTTTTTTAAAAAGTAAATAACTTTATAACAATACTTTTATTATTTGTTCGTTTATGGACCAGACGAAGACCACTCTCTCCAATTATCGAAGGTGGCTGAGACCTGGGGCTGGTCCAGGTTCTGTCTGGAATATCAAAGATGATTTCTGAGACAAATCTTGACACTAGAAGTCCACACATGACCGGTGAGACAAACTTGACACTGAAGGGTCAGATATGACCGGTGAGACAAATCTTGACACTGGAAGTTCTTATAAGAACGGTGAGAAAATCTTGACATTTGAATTTTACATATGACAGGTGAGACAAATCTTTTAAAGGAAATTTCACATGGTATCGGTGCAAGGATAGACAGGCCATCTTCACTGGCATTGTGACGTGGGCATTTCTGGATGAGCACTCGAGTTCTGCTGCAGCTGATCCGTTGGCTCAGTGTTGCATGAAGCCTTTGCGTACCGATAATTGACAAAGAGAGGCTTCAGCTTCGCATCTTTTAAATAAATGGCGAGACCGAAGTTTGTGCAGGCAGTGGATACGTTTGAAACATAGTTTAAATTACAACAACAACAACAACAACAACAACAACAACAACAACAACAACAACAACAACAACAACAACAACAAAAACAACAACAACAACAACAACAACAACAAAATCCACAACTAATAAATTCCTTTACTGAGGAGCGTCACTGTTACTAAATTCTTTCTCTATATATTTTCGGAGTCATGTTGGTTTTTTTTTCTTCTTGCTCTAAAAAATGCAACCTTGTCATAATGGCAGGGTTAAAATTTCCTCTCCTGCATTACGTAAGTCAAGACGAGCATCTATTTTAGCATGAGCTCTGTTGTATTATTTACGGTGGAGAAAAGAAAAGCGTATGTGGTTGTAAGTGTGATAGCTTTAAAGTATTATAAGAGGGTTTCAAAACTTTTCAATCTATCATCATGACCCCTGAAAAGAAACATCATCTATTTAATTATGCTTGATGTATTTTCTATGAAAACTTCTATTCCCCCATACTGACGGTCACTCAGGTTTAAAATTCTTTCGCGACAGTAAACACCATTAATGTATGCAAGGGGTCCTCAAACTACGGCCGTAGGTCAGATCCGGCCATCAAGGGGTCAGTGATCCGACCCGCCTGGCCAAAGTAAATATAAAGTTACCTGGCTAAGAGCGACAAATATTTAAATGGCGTTAAGTCCATTTGAAATGCTATTAAGATTATATTGGATATATTTTTTCTTCATTTAAATAGTGTGCATAGTGCTGATATATGTGCAGTGTGCATGGCATTCTTTCATATTTTTCCAACCTTAGTCCAGCCCCCGACCGGGTCTGGGGATACTAAACCGGTCCCTCGTTTAAAAAAATGAGGACCCCCTAATTATACCCACCCACCGCCCCCCCCCCCCCCCCTGATTGGATCCAGTGGTTCTCACCCTCAATTCGTTTGAGTTTCGCGGCCAATTCTTTCGATCAAATCAGTGGTGTTGCTATTGGGACTAAAATTGGAACCAGCTACGCATGCTTGTTCATGGTTCGTTACGAACACATGGTGGAAAGCAACTCAACTGGAGCCCTCCCTGAATTCTACAAAAGGTACATTGATAATGGTATGGGGGTCACCACTATGGAGAGGAGTGAACTTGACCAATTTATTAACCTTGTAGGCTATTTTCACCTTTCTATTAAATTCCCTTCTCATGTCTCTGAGACCTCGGTTAACTTTTCGGGCATTACGGTCACCCTTCACAAAGACAGCCAACTTACCTCCGCCTACTTTAAACCTACTGACAGCCACATCCATTCACTCTACGCTCCTTCCCACCCTAAATCCTGTAAAGACTCTATTCCCCTTGTCTCAACTACTTCGTATTCGTTGACTTTGCCAAATCAGAGGATGACTTTTGGAACAAACCACTTGAGATGATCGACTATGTCCGATAAAGGCCCCACCCACAGACGGTACCTTCATCAGCCCTTCAAAGGGTGAAAAATATTACCAATTTAAAAAAAAATAAAGCTTTTATAAGATTTATTTACAAACTGACATACACTTCCAAGATATATGTGATTTAAAATGAGTAAATGTAAATATGATAAATATGCTGAAAGAGTGAACAACTTTGCTTTAAAAGGAAACACTCGTCTGATAGGCTCTTTGGATGTGTACACATTGTGTAAATGTTGGTATGGCTTTTTTTGGTTGCGTGACGCGCACCAACACACTGCAGGTAACCAGGGCCGGCACTAGGAGGGTATGGGGGCCTTAGGCAAATTGAATTTTGCGGGGCCTTTGACGTTGTACATTCCTCTGATTCATCTCGAGGGGATAGTATGGGACCATTTGACTATCTTAATAACTCCGAATATTGTGCTGACTGGATAAGAACTATTAGTAGGCTTAGGTATATTTTAAATATACTACGACTATAGGCAAACACGGGGCCTTGGGCGGTCGCCCACTTCGCCATCCCCTAGCGCCGGCCCTGAGGTAACACACTACTGCGTCGTGACGTACAGTTTGTAAAAGCACTGTATTGCAGTGTTTGCAACAATCGTTATTAATATTCATTGACAGTGACTTTGTTGTGCATCAATGTGTCAGTGTGTATTGGTGGAAACATTTATAAGTCACACTCTTTGACTGATATCATATCAAAATTTATAAGTCACACTCTTTGACTGATATCATATCAAAATTTATAAGTCACACTCTTTGACTGATATCATATCACACCAAAACAGAAATCAAATCCGATTCCTGCGACCGCCTAATTTTTTTTTTACCACTGATAAGTTTACAACAAACACAAGAATGATCATATGCTGTTACCTTTTGTAAAGAAAAAATTACTTCCTGCATACATGTAAGAACCAGTGATTGTTTCACCAAGTCAAATCCTGGTGTTTGTTTAACTTTTTTTACCATTTTGTCAGGCGTTAATTATACTTGCCCAGAAATAGTTTTAACATACACATCAAACGCGAACAAAAACCCCTGGGGGAATGGTCCAACTTTCAAAGGTTGTTGATTCTAATAACCAGGTAGTTCTCAAGTTTTTTCTTGCTTCCTTGTGATTCTAACCATCCCCCCCCCCTCCACACCAAGGCGCCCTATTTCTAATTCAAACATGGATACCGCGAAATAGCCAATACTTATTCTTAGTTTTTGATAAATTAAAATTTAAAAAAAAATATTATTAGGCATATCAAAGTTCTCAAAGCGCCATCTAAGACAATATATTTAGGTGTTTCCGTCGAACTTATCGGTGGAGTAAAATCGTGCCGTGTTACGCTGAATTTAAAATAGATATGACCGATAGCCGCGGCACCAAAGTGTGCAGCGGCGAAAACTTTGAGAACCACCGTTATCAACTTTTTAACTTCCATTTAATTAAACGGTACAGGGAATTTATGGGGTGGAAAGCATAAAATTTGAGATTGTCCAGAAGCATACAACAGACATAGGTCGTGTCGTTCAGTAACTAAAAGAGCCGTGGTGTTAACGTGAGGATGAACGATTTAAGGCTGAAAGAAACGTGAAGATTGAAGGCTTTATTGGTTGAATGCACTCATGTAGTTTGAGTTGATTTTTTTTTTTATTGTTACATCAAACAGGATTCAGCTCTCTAACACAACATGAATGGTCAGAGAGATCTCACGTGAACCGATGGACGGTGGAATAACAAAGGGATCGATGGTCGCAGGGTTCAGTCAGGTAGCAGTCAGTCAGGGTAGGGCTAAGTCAGGGTGGGGTCAATGAGGTCAGCGGTAAGGCAGGGTAATGGTAAGTCATGGGCTGGGGTCAGTCAGGGTAGGGGTCTGTCAGGGCAGGGGTCTGTCAGGGCAATGGTCTGTCCGGCCAGGGGTTAGTCAGGGTAGGGTTGAGTCAAGGTAGGGGTCAGTCAGGGTAGGGGTGAGTCAGGGAAAGGCTCAGTTAGGGTAAGGGTCAGTCAGGTCAGGAGTAAGGCGGGATAAGGGTAAGTCAGGGTAGGGGTCAGTCTGGGTAGGGGTTGGTTAGTGTAGGGGTCAGTCAGGCCAGGGCAGGGGGTCAGTCAGGGTAGGGGGCAGTCAGGGTAGGGGTCAGTCAGGATAAGCGTCAGTCAGGGTAGGGGTCAGTCAGGGTAGGGGTCAGTCAGGGTAGGGGTCAGTCATGGTAGGGGTCAGTCAGGCCAGGGTCAGCCAGGGCAGGTGTATCCTGAAGCAGGTGGTAACATAACGTTGGCGTTGAGCATAGTTAAATGTTTACTTTGAGCTCAAGTAAATATATTCATTGACATCTGCATACACTACCCGGTCTACACTATTCACACCGTTGAAAAGAAAGATCATGATACATTCGGGTAATATTTTAAGTTATACAAAAATCCCTTATCATGCTCTATCTATTCATCTTTATATGAATGGTTAAATTAAAATAATAAATGAATTAAAATGTTATCTCGCATTTATTGAATAATTGTGTACAGCGATATAACATCTGTTTTCAAGATAATAAAAAAATAATTAAATAACAAAATCTGTGCGAAAAAAATTAAGGAATAATGATTGACCAGCTGGGGGGGGGTGGCATCGCAACTACAATGCACTTGAGAAATACGTTGTGATTCTTTTGGAAGGGCTTGTTTGGACCAGGGACGTCCTGGCCCACGACCACGCGACGAGCATTCGTCATGGGCCTAACAAAATCTGTGCGAAAAAAATTAAGGAATAATGATTGACCAGCTGGGGGGGGGGGGCATCGCAACTACAATGCACTTGAGAAATACGTTGTGATTCTTTTGGAAGGGCTTGTTTGGACCAGGGACGTCCTGGCCCACGACCACGCGACGAGCTTTCGTCATGGGCCTTTTTGGGTATTTATTTACAGTTATTACAATCTCCGGTGTGCAGGGGGGGGGGGGGTGCTACGGGCCTTTCTTATTACACCATTCGTCAAGGGTTTCCATGTGCCAGCACGTCCCTGGTTTGGAAGCTGTATTTCTGGGCTTTTGGGATCGGGATTCGCCTATGCACTATGTTCGCCCACCTTGCCCAGCCCGATTTTAAATTTTGGGACTTTTTTTTTACCCAACATTCCCTCCATCCTTTTGAAAAATAGAGGTGGTCATTTAAGGATTTGCCATGGTTCAGCGGTTATACTTAATTGTCGCCCACAAAATTAAAATTACTTTTTTTTTTTTAATAAACCCCGCAGTTTCTCATGCACCCGGGAAATGTACGTTATTTCATTTTATGTCACTTGCCTTATCATGCGCCACACAAATTAAATACATTTCTTGAGTTACTTACGTAATGTTTCCAAAAAAATATGATTTACCAAATTTGTCATTGTTTTATCTCCCTATCTTCTCGTTCTAAAGCCTAAATGTGTGTGCCAAAGTTCAAGGGATTTAATAAAAGTCAACACCTGTCATTTTTGTTTACCCTGTTAACTCCCTTGGGGCAGCCAACATCCACTCGGGATTTATTATCATAGATTATATTTGCCTTGCGATTAACAGAGAGCTGTCTGTTCAATTTGAACTACTCATTTTAGCTGAATTAAAAATAATTAGAAGATTATGTAAAATTTTATATTAAATAATATATTTATGATTCTTTAAATTTTATCTTAGGAGTTGAAAATCTCATAAAAATAAACGTTATCCCATTACCAGCCGCCCCCCCCCTTTCCCCAATACAACCACATCAACCCACACACACACAGATCTACTATACACTGTGGGACAATATTTTGTATGATTAAACTTATACATGTGAAGAATGAGAGTACGATAATATGTGTGAGAGACTCATCTTCTTTTTCAAAATCGGTTTCCGTTAGAGAGAGGCCTTAATGAATATGAAGAATTATAAATGAGTGTGTATCAAGTAGCCAGTGATGTCCCATAGAAATAATGTTTTTTTCTTAATTTCTCATACAGTATAATATGCGAGTTTTGACTCCCACAATTTAAATGGTGTTATGAGAAAATATTCCATTTGTTAGATTTCTTTAAGATGGATTCAACATATGATCTTCGTGTTTGCTATTTACAATTAAACTTGTATCAAAGTAACAGATGATTGCTAAGAGAATTATGAAATATGTGATTGGTACAATGGTTGTCACAGAAATATTGTCTGGCAGCGAAACATAATGAGAATTTAGTAGATCCACTTAGAAACATATCCAATACCATCTGCCGACCTGTAAAACATAAATAGTATAATGATTAAACATAAGTCTTTTGAGACCGACCGCTCCGGCCAACTTGGCTGATTGTATCTGACCATTCTCTCGTGTCACATGTGTAATTTGACATCCGAGACAATATCGCCGTTGCATGACGTTTCTAATGATGTCTGATACATGATAGTTGTAGCATGCCACATGTCTTGACATATGTTTGTTGACCAGTTTGAAAGTCATTAGTCACACTCGACCGACGATAAAGTCACCGCCTACTGGCGCCTCGCCACTATTACATGTTACCCGACGTGACATCTGCTATCCGACCACTCTTACATGCCACCTGTCGTGAAATCTGCTATCTGACCACTGCTACATGTCCCCTGGCGTGACATCTGGCTATCTGACTGCTGCTGCACGTCACGTCCTACAATTCCGAGTTGGCCGAGGGTATGAGGCTTGTAACCCGACCAAACTTCGTACTTGTGCTGAGAGTCGACTGCCTCCGGGCCGACGGGCGGGGCTGCTCGCGGTGTAGCACACACAAGACGTTGCGGAAGTTGGTCCGAAAGTTTTGACTAAATATACTGTACAGAATGGGGTTGGCTGCAGAGTTCATGTAGGCGATGACACTGACAAAAACCTGTTGAAAGGAATAGACATTGAACGTTATCATGACGATTGGAAACATACATTTTCTAATAACTTTTACAGTTGATACGATCTGGCTTAAAGGGGAAAAAGAAAGAATTAATTCGTATTTCCGTCTTTCCCCGGAAATCCGGATGGATACATGTTACTAATCTTAGTTTCAGAAATTCTAAAAAAGCCCATTAATATAACTAACTAACGCACATATTCTGGTGAAGGTCTGAGATTACTCTCTTATGACCCCGGCTAGTAAATTGGCTATCAACTCCATCTGTTGAGCTGAGCCATACAACATTTCCCTTACAAAGGATCCTCCAACCGCCCTGGCTTCCCCCGGGAGATCTAGTGCGGGACATTCAGTCAACAGATGTTCTAAGGTCTCTGGGGCCAGGCTGCAATGCCGGCAGGTAGGATCTCTGTTGTTATCCAACCTCCAGAAATATGTGCGCAAGGGGCAGTGCTCGGTGCGCATCTGCGTCACTAGACTCTGCAATCTACGACCTAACTCCCACCATGGGTCTTGTTTGCTAGGAGTAGGCAAGTTCGAATAGACGCCTCTGGCGGTCGTGTTGTCAGCCCATTGCCTGTACCACTTCTGCCTGAAGTGGTCCGCCAGCCAGTTTTTGACTCCCAAGAAAGTCATTGGTACTTCTGGCTGAGGCTGGGCAGCCCCGGTTTTCGCCAGAGTGTCAGCTATCTCATTGCCACTGATGTTGACATGCCCTGGTATCCATTGCATTTCAACCTTGCACCCTATTTCATCAAGTCTGCATATGTCGTTGTGAATGACGTCGACCAAGCTTGTGGTACCCTGTCTCTTCTCCAAGATCTCAAGAGCGGATCTTGAGTCTGAGAAGACGACAATATCGAGCCCCGCATGCTCCGTCCCTTCCAGAGTGACACGGACTCTCTCCAAGGCCTTGTGCATAGCTATAAGCTCCGCGTCGAAGTTTGACGCTGTAGTCCCACAAGGCCCGGAGAGTTTTTCATCGGGCGGTCCACCTACTGGGTACTGAATAAGCGCACCGTACCCAGCAGTTTTTTTCCTAAAGTCAGCAGAGCCGTCCGTGAACACTTTCACAGGTATGTGCGTGAACACATCCATGGTCTCAAGGGCAGCCACTCTCTGTACATGTTCAGGGCTTCGTTTCGTCACTGCTGCATCTGTCAAGGCCAAATGTATGGAGGGGCGTGAGGGTTCCGCATAAGGCGGATTAACTGGGATTTGGGTCAGGCGTTCTCTATTTGGGGGCAGGGGGACTGTCCTCTCCAGCTCCACGACCTGGTGCATGAAAGAGGACCTCTTTAGTCTCCTGCCACCCACCCAGTTATTTTGCATTTGAAAGGCTGGTTCGTTTTCACCAAGCCGTCGGTACCTCTCTACGGTATTTAAAATGGATTTTTCCCTCCTAATTTGTAGCGGTTCTACATTGGCCAAGACTTCTACAGCAGCTGTGGGAGTAGTCCTGTATGCGCCACAGATGAATCTCAGTGCCTGATTCTGGATTCGGCCCAGTTTTTCCAGTGCGGTCTTGCTTGCAAAGGATTGGACCGGCATGCTGTAATCCATCACCGACCTTACACTGCTTAGAAAGAGAGCTCTAAGCGTACTTGCGCTCGCGCCCCAAACATTAATATAACTAAATTAAACGACAGAAACTCAACAGTTTTAAGCCATGTATCAAACTTAATAGTGCGTAAGCCCCGTTGAAAAAGTTCTATAAGAATCAGATGGTGTGCTGAACAAATGATATGGAAGTATTTCTTACGTTTACAAATGATATGGAAGTAGTGCTTACGTTTACAAATGATATGGAAGTAGTGCTTACGTTCAGAAATGTTAAGGGAGTAGTTCTTACGTTTACAAATGATATGGAAGTAGTTCTTTCGTTTACAAATGATATAGAAGTAGTTCTTACGTTTACAAATGATATGGAAGTAGTTCTTACGTTTACAAATGATATGGAAGTAGTTCTTACGTTTACAAATGATATGGAAGTAGTTCTTACGTTTAGTGTCCACATATCATGAAAATCGTTCTGCTTAAACGTGCGATACACCAGTAAAACGTGCTGGGGGGAGTAGCTCAGGAAATACACAACCACGCTCATCATGAGCATTTTGACCACCCCCTTTCTGGCCAACAGAGCATCGCTGGCACGTTCTCTGAAACAACAAAAGACAAAAAAAAAAAAAGATAATTTATTGTCAGAATGTGGGATCCTTTTCATCAGTGTTTCGTAACTTTTCCTTTACCCTGAACCCCTACCAATTTGTTTGACTAAGACTCACAGCAGCTACCAATCATGGTGGGAAATCCTGGTTGACACTAATGACAATCAAATATTAAATATTTTGTCAGATAAATAAAAAAGGAAAGTAACAGGATTCTTCACTGTGGGGTTCAGGGATATTTCCGTCCGTTTATTGCAAGTCCAAGCTTTGTTTGATAAAATCTGAAATCCAGTTGTTTCCCAATTTTGGGGGGCGAAATTTTCTTCAACGTTTTCTTCAAATCCGCTCTGATAGACAGAAATTATGTTGGTTTTTTTTTCCTTTCCAGATAGTCCCTTCACCAGTCACATTGCAAGTGTGTCTGTATTGTTAGCAAGCTTTCAGTCGGGGACCGCACTCGGAAACAATTACTCGAGGACAAAAAAAAAAGGGGGGGGGGGGGGGTTATGGGAATCAAGACTGGTGAATGACGTCACACGGAGTTTGCCATTTGAAACCGGATTTTTAAAAAAGGGTCAAAGGAATTTAAAAAAAAAAATAAGCTGAACATGCTGTGACGCCCAGAGTCTCACACATTTACCTTCAGACCCGTTAGAGGTATCACCGCAAGGGTAACTGACACATTTACCTTCAGACCCGTTAGAGGTATCACCGCAAGGGTAACTGACACATTTACCTTCAGACCCGTTAGATGTGTCACCGCAAGGGTAACTGACATCGAGCTCCACAGCTTTTGTGTTGATGACGCCATAACGCTGCCATTTAATAAAAGCCTGATAATCAGACCACCCAGGTATCGGAGGTTGGGGGGGGGGCACGTTATAAAGTGAAATAAATCTATGCAAAGGGGTGTCATTGTTTACCTGCGTAGCTTCTCAGAACGCGTGAACAGTTGCCGAGACACCTTGGCGTAGAGCATGATCTGAATGATGAGCGGTAGCACGTAAAACAGGATGAACTCCAGGTACTTGAACACCAGGAAGTAGTGAAAAGGTTTGCTGGGAAACCGGATGTGGCATAGTTTTACCTGAAATTATTTGGAAAACGCACAAAAAAATTCTCATTTTCATTGTCTTAACAGTGAAGGGTTTATTCATGAGACTAGAGCCATTACTGGACCAGTTAACACTTAAATTCGGATTAAGGTTAATAATATCGGATTTATTTCTAGCACTGCATTTCTAACACCATAATTATTTAAAGTGATAACTTTTTGTATGCTTTTATATAATAGCGTTTTTGAAAAATTACATTTTGTTTACATTACTAAGCGTGGAATTATGTTAATAGTATGTTTCTAAATTTGTATTTTAATCGTAGCATTTATACAATTGGTTTTCAAATATTTTGTTTATAATATTATATTTCTAATAGTTTGGTTGCATTATCAAAGATACATTAACATTGCGCAACAAAGGATTTGCAGCAAATATGATTTGGTAAGGTTAACATGGGGAGCAGAGATCTCAAGAGAGACACAACGTAAGATAGATAGAGAGAGATAGAGAGATAGAGAGAGAGAGAGAGAGAGAGAGAGAGAGAAAGAGAGAGAGAGAGGAGCTAGAGGATATAAAAATAGAGAAAGTGGAAGATAAAATATTAAAAAGCCATGAAACTGGATATTTATCCCGCCCTAAACTAGATATAGAACTCAAATTTACAAGAAAGGGGAGCTTTCCGACCCTGCCAACTATCGTCCGATATCCCTCACCAGTGTGGTCTGCAAACTGTTGGAGCACATAATCATAAGCACCGTCAAGAAGCATCTTGAAAGTTAAAATATACTCAATGACTGTCAACATGGCTTCCCAGTCAATAGATCATGTGAGACCCAGCTTCTCGAATTTGAAGAAGACCTGATGACCAATCTGGAGAACCACAAGCAGACTGACGTGCTGGTAATGGACTTCGCAAAGGCATTTGAGCGTGTGAATCATAGTTTGCTTCACAAACTCCAGAGATATGGGATCCAAGGCACCACTAAAACATTGATCTCTAGCTTCCTCAGCCACCGATTCCAAGCAGTAGTGGTGGATGGTACAAGCTCGATGTCGATGTGAAGTCAGGGGTCCCCCAGGGATCAGTCCTGGGTCACTGTTTGTTCCTAGCATACATTAATGACCTACCCGAGAAACTGACATCAAAGGCAAGACTGTTCTCAGATGACACAGCAGTGGGTAGGACGATCACCAACAGATCTGACCAGGACCAGCTACAACAGGATCTCAATCTGTTAGCTGAGTGGGAGATGAGCTGGGACATGGAATTTCACACTGCCAAGTGCCAGACACTATCAGTCTCTAGAAGTTGTACTCCTCTACACTACCAATACGAACTGCACGGCCATATACTTGAGCAAGTTTCCTCCGTAAAGTACCTGGGTGTTATCATTCAAAGAGAGGTCCGCTGGGACGAGCATATTAACAATGTATGTAACCAAGCAAACAAGACCCTAGGGTTGTTAAGGCGAAATCTAAAGATTGGCAACTCCAGTGTGAAAGAAAGAGCATATAAAGCCTTTGTCCGTCCGATTTTAGATTATACATCTTCAGTCTGGGACCCATTTACTCAGAAGAGCAGTGACAGGTTGGAGGCGGTCCAGCGACGAGCAGCACGCTTTGTCCTAAACCTCTACAGGAATACCTCTAGTGTTGGCAGCATACTGGAAACACTAGGCTGGTCACCATTGGAGAAACGATGACGACAATCCAGGCTCTCCATGATGTACAAGATAAATAATGGGCTGGTCCACTGTTCCAGTATTAAACAGAAACTCGTCCCTCTCCCCAATAGACAGCGACGAGGCCATGGCAGGCATTCAGGCTCATACCAGCAAGAAGCCAATATAGGAGCTGCTCATTCCTTCCCAAGACAATCAGGGACTGGAACAATCTTTCAAAAGGAACGGTTGAGGCGACAACACTAGACACATTTGTGTCTATTGCCTCAAGCCTTCAAACCCCTAGGGCATGATTCCCTCACAAAGTGGCACTGGAAATCAGTGAAATTTCCTCATCAACACCAGGATCAGAAACGTTGCAAATCCCATCTACATGCATAGGAGCCAAAATGATCAATAAATTGATCGTGGGCCCTTAAGATATAGATGAAATAGATTAATAAGACACGAACAAATTGTGTCAATAGAGTTAGCTTTAATAATAATTATACATTATACAAAATTAAACGTTTCGGCACATGACTTCATCAGTAGAAACAAACAAAACACATTTAAATAAGTATAAATTAAATTTACATCATATCAATATACATATCCTACCTAAAACAGAAAAAATATAGGAGAGGGCGCTAAAACCAGACAAGAACAAAGTAAAGAGAAGTAGAAAGGAAGTGATTTTAACATAATTGGAAAAACCAAACAGGAAAAAGACATGGCAGCTAAGTAAAACTATGGATTGGGTTCAATCCATATGGAGACAACGTACCAAATCTAGTGATTAATTTGTTCTCCATATAGATTCTATCTGCAGTGTTACTAGTATAGAGTATACCAGTAACTACAATATCTGAGATACCATTATGGTTAGGGCTATTTAAATGTTTGGAGACCGGACAGAAAGCGTGTTTATTTATGTTATAGAGGTGCTCTCTGAAACGGTCCCCAAGGCGACGACCTGTCTCTCCTATGTATAGTTTACCGCACTTTTTGCAAATGATGGTGTAAATCACGTTGCGACTTGTGCAGGTAAAGCCATCTTTTATTCTGAATACTCCCAGAGGGAAAGTGATCGTATCTGTTTCGATCACGTAGGGACATGAGTTACAACGGCTACGGTTGCAACTTTGTGTGCCTTTATGTGCTTTAATAGCAGGGAGGTGGCTTCTAACTAGCAAGTCCCTAAGGCTCTTGTCCCGCCGGAAAGCGAAAAGAGGAGGTTTTCTAAAAATCTCATTTGTGACAGGGTCCGCCATAAGAATGGAGCGGTTTTTAAGAAACAGAGAGCGAGCTTTTAGGTTGTGGGGATGAAAAGTTAAGATAAATTTAGACCTATCAATAGTGTCAGAATGAGTAGCTTTAAAAGAAGCCTGTCTAGTCATACCTTTAACTCGAGTGACAGCTGCTTTTAAAATTTCTTCGGGGTATAATAAGCGTCGGAAAAAATCCAACATTTCAGACATTCTTTCTCGAAAATCTTCATCATTACTCCATAGTCTTCTGAGTCTCAGCAACTGAGAAAATTTGATGGAGTTTTTACACCATTGAGGATGGGATGATGAATATAGCAAGAAGCTATGACTGTCTGTTTGTTTATAAAAAAATGGACGTAGATATTTTGTTCTCATGAAGGTTAATTTGTAAGTCCAAAAAATTGATGGTGCTTTTATGGATCATTGAAGTGAATTTAATTGTTGGATGAAAATCTCCAATGAAGTCAATAAAACTTTCTAGTTGTGTTATGTCCATATTAGTAATCCCTATACAATCATCAATTTATCTTCTGTAGTACTCTGGGAAAGGACCTTGGTAGTGTTCTCTCCAAAGATGTTTCAAATGGCCCATACATAAGCATGCATAACGTGGTCCCATTTTCGTTCCTATAGCAACACCACTGATCTGATCGAAAAATTCGCCATTGAATTCAAACGAATTAAGCTGTAGAACCAATTCAGTCAAACGTACACTGGCACTTGTTGGAAAATTGGGATTAGGATTCGTATTCAGAAAAAATGAAATTGCGGTGAGTCCATCTGTGTGGGGAATTGAGGTGTACAGTGAAGAAACGTCCATTGCAAAAAGTAAATGGGTTTCATTAGGTAAAACCAAGGACTCGAGAGATTTGATCATGTGGTTAGTGTCCTTAATATGCGATGGTAAATTTTCAACTATGGGCTGGAAAATTTTACCCAAAAACTCCGAAATCAGTTCAGTAGGACAAGAACAAGCTGAGACAATAGGGCTTCCTGGACTTCCCTCCTTGTGAATCTTTGGTAGCAAATACAAGCATGGTTTACCAAGATCACTGTCATAAATAAGTAAGTTTGAAGCAGACGCAAAAGAGCGAAAGAGAGACACTGAGAGTAAGAGAGAGAGAGAGAGAGAAACAAGAGAGACGGAGAGAAAGTGAGAGAAAGTGAGAGGAGTGAGAGAGAGACAGGGAGAGTTAGAGAGAGCAAGACAGAGGGAGAGAGTGAGAGAATGAGTGAATTAGAGAGCTAGAGATGGTCAGAGATAGTAAGAAAAAAAAAGAGAGAGAGAGAGAGAGATAGATAGATAGATAGAGAGAGAGAGAGAGAGAGAGAGAGAGAGAGAGAAATATACGACAATGATTATAAAATTTTTAACTTTCTTCAAGCTTTTAGGACAATATTAAAAATTCATAATAGGCCCCTTTCAGTTTTAATTTGAGAGAATAAAATGATGAACTGAAGTATTAAGCTACATACGCTGGCAAATGTCAAATGTTGTTGACAAGGCCAAAGAAAGAAATACCCAGAAATATCGAAAACGACCTAACTCGATAACATAATTTAAAATATTATTGAAGGTACGATATCTGTCTGCATCTCTAAGTCTCCATACAATCCAGTGTTCCTGCTGTAAAACTGTAGATGAAATATAACAACTTAGAGAAGACCGGGACAACAAATTAATTTGATTAAATCTGTGCAACATTGCGGAAAACAAAAAAAAGTGATGTGTTTCTTTTTTTATGTATTACAGCACATCTAAGATGTATCACAGCACATCTAAGAAGTTTCACAGCACATCTATGATGTATCACGGCACTTCTACGCTGAATTTTGTGCAAAACACACATTTTGAATGGCAAATCCTTTTCAAGAAATGTCCCAGATAAATGTCGGTCTGTTGTATTATTTAACACTTGCCTGTAGGACTATTTAATACTTGTCTGTAGTAATATTTAAAACTTTCCTGTATTACTATATCTGAAACATCTAATGATTAGTTTTAGAGGAATATCCCGATTCATGGATATTTGGCCGTTATTAAAGTCAACATGCGTTTTTAAAGCTTAAGAGAGAGAGAGAGAGAGAGAGGAGAGAGAGAAGAGAGAGAGAGAGAGGCACAGGGAAATAAAGACATAGAGAGAGAGAGAAGAGAGAGAGAGAGACGAGAGAGAGAGAGAGAGAGAGAGAGAGAGAGAGAGTAATATCAACGATTAACATTTTAGAAACAGAGTTCCCAGCCAAACGGAAAAGGTAATACGCGCCTTCGACCCTGTGCCCCCTTCTTCCATTTCATTAAAGAGCAGAGTCGGCGTCCCAGCAGCAATGGAGAGGGGCCAGATGAATGCCACCACCAGGGCAATACGGACTCGACTGCACAAGATATGGGCTTTGATGGGGTGAACTATGCCAACGTACCTGTGAAGTAAGTAGTGCAGTAACATTATGTCAAGGTGGCGTGTTAGAAATTATACGATTTTTTATTTATCTCATTAAGAAATTTTATCATAGAAGTTATGGAGATCATTCCACTGGAAAGTCCACCAAAAGTCTAGTGACTCGTTAGATAGCTTATTAAAATCTCCCCCCCCCCCCAATAAAAAAAAAATAAATAAATAATCTTTTTTATTTATCTCATTAAGCAATTTTATCATAGAAGTTATGGAGATCATTCCACCGGAAAGTCCCCCAAAAGTCTAGTGACTCGTTAGATAGCTTATTAAAATCTCCCCCCCCCCCCCAATAAATAAATAATGAATAAATAATCCGATAACGTCTAGAATATAAAGAGTATGTGTTTTTAAAATCATATGCAGAATGACCTTTCCATTCATATGAATACCCACCTTTCCATACATATGAATACTGACCTTTCCATACATATGTATACTAACCTTTCCATACATATGAATACTGACTTTCCATACATATAAAGACTAACTTTTCCTTCCATATGAATGTTGACCTTTCCGCACATATAAAGACTGACCCTTCCATACATCCGAAGACTGTCCTATCCATACATAGGAAAACGTAGCTTTCTGTAAATGAGAATACTGACCTTTCAATACATATGGAGACCAGCGTCATGACTGACGCATACAGGGAGACAACTAGGATGAATCGGTTCGCCTTACACAAGAGTGACTCCAAGATCCAGCCCCGGTTCATCATGAACTGGATGATCTCTGGGATACCGAACACCATAATGATCTAACGAGTGAGAAGAGATAGAGCATGTTAGATCAGAGCAAAACTGATAAGTACATTCAACCCATTTGAAATAAATAAAAGAAAGGGGGGAAAAAAGGTTAGATGATGTATTTTTGTTGTAAATGGTGTTACACGGGAGTATCCCTTGGCTCCAGTATGAATATTTACAGATAGCATAATCACCGGTCTGGTAATTTCAAAAATCTATCACGACAATCTTTCATTCTGATAAAGGGGTGGATCAGGGGTTCTTAAGCTTTTTGCAATGCCACACCCCCTCTTGATTAAAAAAAGAATATACCCCGCATCCCAAAGATAAAAAAAGGCAAATAAAAATGCAAATACATCTGATTTTTTGGGTCTTCCAGCACACCTGACACTGCTTCTCGCACAACCAGTGGGGTGCCTGAACTCCTATTTAAGAATCCCTGGAGTAGATTTTGCATAACTAGCATCAGGAATGTTCGATAAATGCCCCCATTTTAGACATAGCAAAAAAAAAAAAAATAATCCACTCAATGATTCCAGTAGATTTTTATAGAATTGAAGTTTGTTAATCGACTAGTTATATATAGAGATAACCTGTTAATGGACTCGCTGTGTATAAGTTAACATTGGGAAATGGTGTTGGTAGGTCATCGAGCGCGAGCTCTTAATTCCCCCCCCCCGGCAAACCTACACACGAGCCAGACACCGGGTTTTCCCGTCGTGAGACCGTGCTACGGTAGCACGCTTGGAACTTCCCTCCTGGCCTGGGGGGCATCCGGTCGACCGAAAACGCCGCGTTTAAAGCGTTCGCAGTCCACTCTCCCTAAGTTCTATATACAGATAACCTGTTAATGGACTAGTTGTATATACAGATAAACTGTTAATGGACTACGTGTATATACAGACAACCTGTTCATGGACTATATGTATATACAGATAACCTGTTAATGGACTAGTTATAAATTTAGATAACCTGTTAATCGACTAGACATTTCAGACAGAGTTCATTAACAGGAAAAACTTCTAATCTATTTCAGGAAACAATTTCTAATCTATTTCAGGAAACAATTTCTAATCTATTTCAGGAAATAATATCTAATCTATTTCAGGAAACAATTTCTAATCTATTTCAGGAAACAATTTCTAATCTATTTCAGGAAACAATTTCTAATCTATTTCAGGAAACAATTTCTAATCTATTTCAGGAAACAATTTCTAATCTATTTTAGGAAACAATTACTAATCTATTTCGTGTCCCTTTTTTGAAGCTAATAATTGTCACAGGGGATAATGATGGACTTTTTTTGACATTCTCTATTTCTCCATTTCCGCCAACAATTGTATAGCCATAAGCCTACAATATTTGTTAAAACATTCAATTCATGCCTTTTAAAATAATTTTTCAGAATATTTATTTTCTACTCTTTTTTTTTGTTGAATTGACCAAGATCATCATTTTATTTATCTATGACGTTAACGAGAAAATATCGTGACAAGTTATTATGAAGAAAAAAAAAATGTCATACATGTCTGAAACTGGCCAAGGAACACAATTTTCAGCAAACAAGTAAAAAAAAAGGTGAGAGTGGGGGATCGTTGGGTTTGGAAATGCAGGAAATCGAGAAGGCTTCACTGACGTCACTGTACTTTACACGAGGACATAAAACGAGTTAAGCCAACCCCCCCCCCTCCCCCATTCCTTCCCGTTTATATTCGGACATCCGCTGGAGCGTGTGTGCCCGGAGTTGATTATGCCACCGTTACCCCCCCCCCCTATTGCAATTCGCCAGAGCGAAAAGGCGGCTATTCTCATATCGTCCTTCCCCACTATCATAAAGGGCAGGAGATTTTTAGTTAGCCAAATCAAGGCCATAGATATTTAATACCATCTATCAATTTATTATGTTACAACTTGAATGTAAACAAAAATATGAAGAAAGAAAGAAAGGCGTGGAATTGTTTCGGTCACCTTTGTATGTTGAAACAGGAGCAGGGGGGGGGACACATGTTTTTATAGTCATGGGGTAGGAAGGGATTCCTTAAGTTTCACTACAATGATGCCGACAGTTTTAAGCTGGCTCGTATCTAGCTTGAAGTTAACTAATCAAGCATGCAGTTCTGGGGGGAACCCTGCCCTAACGCGAGAATAATGGTTCATAATAAACAAAATTAAAAATCGAAAGGTGTTTTAATACAGAGGTCGCGCAGAGGTCACGCAGAGGTCGCGCAGAGGTCGCACAGAGGTCGCGCAGAGGTCGCGCAGAGGTCGCGCAGAGGTCGCGCTACACCAGAATTGAGGAAGGAATGTTGTTTCTTTGAATTTTTTATTTTCCTCACAAAAAAAGTATCTTATGCAGGGGTTCCCAACCTTTTAGATTTGTGGAGCCCATTTTTACCATCAATTTTCATGGAGAGCCGCTTAGGCCTACCATATGTTTTCGGGAGCCGCTTTGGCCTACCATATGTTTTGGGAACCCCTTAGGCCTACCATATGCTATTGAGAACTGCCTAGGCCTAACATAATGCCTTACAAGTCACTGAAGCGGCCGATGCGCCCCAGCGGAATAACCGATAATGGTTCCGCGGAGCACGGGATGGGAACCACTGCTCTTGTGGTCCGTGTACTTTGCGGTGTTGATGTTTGGCTAGTTTTTTTTTTTTTAGCGAATTAGTTATTATGCTGTAAGAGCAAAAGAATGTCATTATGTCCGTATGCTGAAAACGTATAATAAATTGTACACCATTCAAGTGTGATCACGGTTTTAGGATCTCATGCATCACTTTATGTTTATAAACACACAAAAAAAACAACAAAAAAACATCTAAAATGTGTCGCAGGCCTCACAGCGTGATATCACTGGTCGCCAGATAAACAGACTTCATTCAAGTAAGGGAGAAATTTTCAAGCGTAAGCTTTAGTAGCTCATCTCCTCAGGATTTTTAATATCGCAATATCACTGTACCAGCACCACATTTGGAGAACCTCTTTCTGTGGTAAATGATTTATATACAAGAGATGTGAATTACTTCTTTGATGTTCGCATTATAAAATGAACTTCCTTTTCCACCCCCTTCCCTTTCTCACCCACTCAAAAACTTGTTCTATAAGAGAAAAAATTTGTTGAATAAATAAATAAAAGGAAGGAGAGTAAATAAAGAAAGTAAATAAAAGACAAAAGCTGCGCTGCAACAATTTTAATATATTTCAGGACACAAAGGTCCAGGTCTAAATAATGGTGAAAAAAATCCTTAATATTTTAATATAATAAGATTCGTAATGTCTCCACTGTTGATATGCGGGATAAATATAAATATATACATATATAGATATCCTGATGACATACAAGACTTTAATGTGCTTGGGCAGGTGGCAGACATCCCCCCCATCCCCCCGGGGCGGAAAACGTCTTAATATCTTACAACTCACGGATTGTCTGAGCAGGTATATGTTTATATCTTCCAGCTTCCTCATTGTCTGATAACGTCTGCTCGTTAGATTGATCGGAACCTCGCGCTACAGTCTGGTTAACTTGACCAGGCTTAGCCCAAACCTCATCCGACGAGGACGCTTGGGTGGTGGAGACACTAAGTCTAATCATACGGGTATTTCATTAGTGTCCTTGCCGGCTTGTCAAGACTTAAATAATGTTTATTGATTGCTTTGCCGTCTGCGTCAACTTTCATTTATTCCAGTTATCGGACAAGAAGGGATGTGACTCTCTTGAAGAAAGAGGAGATAACCAATGTTCGACACATGAAAGGACAGTTTCGGTGCTGTAACCTTTACATACTAGAATTTTTCAATTATTTTGTGAGCTGTGATTTTGACAGAAATACTGAAAAGTTTTTTCCCTTACAACCATTGTTTATTTCTTGAGTGTGGTTGGGGGGGGGGGCAATACCGTCTCCCCGAAGGAAACTTTAAAAGAAGTAAAAAAACAACAACATTTTTATAAAAAAATAGTAAATGATACATTTCACCTATTCACATTAGTGAAATAATGGAACCAATTAAAATATTTCTTCGCTCGATATATTGATGATCTGAACATTTAAGTTGAATATAAATACAACATCGACTTCTAAGGAGAGTAACGTCCTGAACACAGGCTTCTAAAGACTGTAGCGTTCCGAACACAGGCTTCTAAAGATCGTAGCATCCTGAACACAGGCTTCTAAAGACCGTCGCGTTCTGACCACAGGCTTCTAAAGACCGTAGCGTTTCGAACACAGGTCGCTCTTGATGATATATCACATGTTTGATCCAGCTGTTTACTTGTTTGATTTATTAAACCAACATTTTTATCTTATTACTCTCTGCAACATTTCTATTTTATGAACACTATGTAAATTCAACTAGCTTGTCATCGCTCCACACTCCAGAGTCCTGGATTACAATATGGTTCTTGCTTAAGTGTCAAACACCGGCCAAATGTTTCTTTTTCTGTTTCCATTTCTTGGCAAAATGGGGTACACTTTTAAAGTATGGAGGATTGTTCATTGTATGATATCACCCTAATTTAAAATAATACAATTATTAGTTCAATTTTGTTCCGTTCATTTACATTTAAATAAGTAGCAACTAAAGATAAATAGTTTTTTTTGTGGTTTTTTTACAGTATTTTTTTCTCAATTCGTATCCAGTCAACTTGGAAATACATAAGAAAGGTAATTATTATATTTACTTTTTATGATGCCCCCCCCCCCCATTTTTTGTAACTAAATAATTTTAAATTAAAAAAAATAATTAATTAATTAATCAGTTAACGCAGTAAATAGTTTAATAAAAAATTTTAAAACAATATTACTGTTTAGTAACAACTTAAAACACTTAAAACATAGAATGTGTATAAAAAGATTCAGTTGACGAGACCTGTAAATGTTCACTAGAGTATCTTTTGTTTCTCTCCCATTAAATGTAAAGCTAAATTTAAGGTAAACACGAAATTCTTCCGTGCATTTTGAATTTATAAAACAATTTCTGAGGAGGAGTTCATCCAGCTGACTTTGGTCACCATTATGCCTAATTTTGGCCTGGCTCATGTAGTTTACCCTGGTCTCCCTTATGCCTAAATTCGGCCTCGGAAAGGGCTCAAATAGCTGACATGGTCTACATTATGTCTAATTTTTACCTGGTACCTGGGAAGGGGCTCATGTAACTGACCCTAGTCACCATTATGCCTAACTCTGGTGCTCATTGACGCTCTGTCCGGTTATGTAGCTGTGATTAGTGCCGCCCTGAACGGGGACAAGACTTTTTTTCTCCTCTTCCCTTCCATGACAAAAACCCCCTGCCTTTGCCCAAAATGCCACCCTACAATAAAAATAATTGCGTCACCGGGGCGGACAGCCACTTTCACCAATCTCTTTCTACGCCACTGGACCTGCCAACCCCAACATCTGAGACAGCCACCTCCAATTAGTCAATCCTAAGATCAAAGTTAATTAAATTTTTTTAAAGGTTTCACTAAAGATTTTCAATTTGAAGCTGGGATTCGGTTCGGAGCTAAAGCTGGGTTTGAGCTAGCGAAAATGCCTCTCTGACCCATGCTCGAAGTTCGGAGCTAAAGCGGAGTTTGAGCTAGGGAAAATGTGTCTCTGACCCAAGCTCGACGCTGAAGCAGAGTTTGAGCTAGGGAAAATGTGTCTCTGACCCAAGCTCGACGCTGAAGCTGAGTTTCAGCTAGGGAAAATGTCTCTCTGATACGAGCTCGAAAAATGTAAATTAGTGAACAAAAATACAATTAAACTGCATGATTTTTAGATTTTAAGTTTTAAATTAGTTTATTAAAATTGATTTCCAACTCTTCCATCAGCTATGTAGCCCCAGTCTTCTGCGAGCTATGTTGGTGTATTTCAAATGTCTCGTTACTATGATGAGTAGGTGACAATAATAAACACACCTTTAAGCACCTTGAACCCCACTTAACCACCAATTAACTACCACTTAACCTGCACTTAACTACAACTTAACCACCCCGTAACCGGCACTTAACTACAACTTAACCACAACTTAACCACCACTTAAACACCACTTAAACACCACTTAACCACAACTTGACAACCACTTAACCACAACTTAAAAACACTTAACCACCACTTAACCGCCCAATCACTTAACCCCCACTTAACCACAACTTAACCAGAGCTCAGCCAAAAAAAAATGTCTCCAAATCCCTGACACCAAACTACACACGCTCTAGGAAAATGAAGTTAATTTCGTTCATAAACTTTTGAAACCCAAAAGAGTTCAAGCTGACCGGCTCTGACTTGCATTTCACTATCTGTAGATCTATGGGAGTCTCCAATGAACCCGACCCCCCAGTACGCTATAGTTTATAGCTTCATTCATCCTGACAGCAATATTCCAGCTACATTATTTTCTCTCACACTCGTCCTCCAACCTAGTTATTTATTGCCGGGATAAAGGGATGTAACTGTCATTGCGCGGGCGAATTTCTGTAGAGTTTAAAAGGGAAGGGAAGAGCACTCGCACAAGGGATGGGGAATAACTGCCGACGGTGCAACGGTCTGACAATGGCCTCAGATAGATTTACCGTCGCACTCGTTCAGGGACATCGGTTTTTTTGTCTGCGTTTGGTTCGAATGTCCAAAACGAGATCAATATTTTAAGTTATCGATGAAGGTCAATATTTTTAAATATTTTTTTCCCCTGAAGAATAGGTTATACTTGAATGGCTAACGTTAGTACTTGAATGGTAAAGGTTAAAGTTAAATTTTCATATCAGACCTGTTTACCCCTGGGTTAGTGTCAGCGTAGTTTTCAGCTCTCAACAACGTAGTGTCAACCTCCAAAGAAGAGTTTGGTCAATAAGCCGGGGGGTATGGGTGGGGGTGGGGGTGGGGGTATGGGTGGGGGTGGGGGTGGGGGAGGGGCTGGTTTGCTATCAAAATACAAGTTATGTTAGGGAATCCACTAATACGCTTGTAAATTAACATAATTAAATATGCAGGTCATAGTCCTGCGATTTGTGTCTTAAGGATGAGAAAGAGAAAAGGTCTTCGGGCGAGCACATTGGTAGTTAAGAAATAACAACGCCATTCTCCAAAAGATGCTATTGAGATCGCGACCGCAAAGGCCAATCACAGAAATTCTTATTCGATTGTTTAAGGAGTTTTTTTTTTTGCTGGCAATGTTTCATTGTATCAATGTTATCCGCCTTTCGGGACTCCATCTCCGGGTTTTGATTTCAGAGTTTCCTTCTCTTAGATGAGTTGCCGTCCAAGGTTAGCGGGTCCCATCCACCCGGGGTGCTGGTGGTGTTTTTGGTCTAGCTGGAATTGAACTCCAGACCACCAACTTGAGATTTGCTCAGTTTAGACCACTCGGCCACCCAGCACCCCCGCTTACGGAGTTAACACAAAAAAAAATACGCTAACTTTTTATTGAAAACACCCCCATTTTTTTATTTTTTTTATTAATTTTAAACCAAACCAATGAAAAAATTTCCGAAACGGTAATTTGTTTGGGCTCGTCGTAGTGGGGTAGTCTAAGGCTTAAAAACGTAGTTTTTAGGACGAAAGCGAAGAGGTAAACACGTCTGTTATTTTGATCCAAATAAATGGAAGTGATCTTCATTGTTTTGCTCATATTCAATTTTATCAGATTGAAAAAAAATCTAACCAAGACAACATTTTGAAACTAGAATACTTTAAAAATAATACATCTAAAAGTATTTCTCAAGCGTTATAATCAGCCGTAGAACACCATAAAGCTTCACTTCTGTAGTGACAATAGTGACGTAATTAGTGATCGTTTTGATTTTGGAACAGATGTGGGAGCAGGCAGGTAAATTGGGACAGCTAGGCGAGCACGCTGGTAGATTATGACATATGGCATAAAATAGCTTTCAGATATATCGTTACAAACATTAACGGAAAAATTGGCATTGATAGGCAGATTTATAGGTATCGGTGATGAAAAGAGTTGGATGTTCGCTTTAAAACAGCATTTTTCTTCAAACATTTCTTTTAATATATTAGTAAGAGTTTTAAAACAATTATTCATTATGTTTAATAGGTAAATATTTGTTACAATCAAATTGGTATAAGGTATTTGATAGAACTTTGATCAAAGAAAAAAAAAGATTAAACTTCAAAAGCAACAACTTACGACTCTGTATGGAAAAACTGAGTAATTTGAATTGAACTACTGAGGACTTTGAATGGAGCAAGTGAGGACTTTGAATTGAACAACTGAGGACTTTGAATGGAACAAGTGAGGATTTTGAATGGAACAACTGAGGACTTTGAATTGAACAACTGAGGATTTTGAATGGAACAAGTGAGGACTTTGAATGGAACAAGTGAGGACTTTGAATGGAACAAGTGAGGATTTTGAATGGAACAACTGAAGACTTTCAATGGAACAACTTAAAAAATTTTAAAGCGGCCACTTAGGAACAAAATTAAAATTATTAAAAAAAAATATCAACACCCTTCTATGGCAACCCAGCTTTAAGAATCCATGGTAGCTGATCAATTTCGCAATAACAAAACAACTACACTACTCACCAAATCAGCCAGTGCCAGGTTGGTGATGAGCAGGTTGGTGACAGAAGCCCTCATCTTGCGGTCACACACGATGGCGTACACCACCAGGAAGTTGCCGATAATACCGGCGGCCCCGATGGCGAAGAAGATGATACTAAATATGACAATCTCGGCCAAGCCGGCCACCTCGGCGAAACTCGCGTCCAGCGGTTTCCCCCCGTTAGCTGCGGAAGTGGAGGTTTCATTGAAATAGTTGATGACCACCATCTGAGGGAGCTCAGCGGAAATGTTTAGCTGAGGTCGAAGGTCGGTGTAGTTTGCTGCCATCTTGTCAGAATAAGTAACCCATGATTACCAAATAGCTTGTAGCCCGTCAGAATATCTCCCTGGTGTTTGGTGGTTGAAATTAGTTAAAGAGTATTAGAGATTTCTGTGGCCAAATGAGATTTTAGGGCACAACATTTCTCGTGGAATTTTAAATTTCAAAAGGGGAATCGTGATGATAATAATGATTTGGTCGTATGAAATTAAAAATGTTTTAAAATGTTTTAATCAAGTTTGAGACAATTACATCTGTCAAAAATGGAGAAGAAATTTTTTTAAAAAAGCTTGTTTTACTTACGATAAGTAGTTAATGAATAATATGGAATTTAAAAAAAAATAAATGAGAATTCAAAATGTGTATATATTATTGATGTTCCCCATCACATTATTAACACATTCTCGTTTGTCTCAACAATGTTGGTAATTGTATCCGGACAAAAGCGAATATCTGCTTGTTGTATTGGTTAGTTTCATATAACTATAAAAGCATTGTTTTGAAGGGATTCGTCTCTCACATCATTAACAACAGATTTTAAATGGCTGCCACGCTGTCACAGAGAAAGCGGGAGTCCCAAAATAAGTGCACATTTAGCACACTTTTAACCGTCATCATCGGCTATCTGTGGTCATCAGCTAACTGTAATTGTATGGGATGGAGTCTCACTTGGCCCCCATGTGGGACTCATCGTGTCCCCGTGCCTCACAGACGCGAAATTGCAGTCTTTGGTAGGTCATTATCGCCCACACCAATCCACTTTCAATCACTGTCGTCCAAGAAAAGCTTCTTGATTCTATTTCTCGCAGTTAAAGGCAATCAGCGGCATGGAAATTCCATCAGCTTCTGAAATATATATATAGAGAAAAATACGTTCAAATAAAAATTCGTTACATTATAAATCAGTTTTAGAATTTAAAAAAATGATGCAATATCTTCATTCCTTAAACGTTATTTTTACAAAAAAATAAGTAAAACTTTGACAAGCATCAGAAGGGTGTATAATATAATTTTTTTAAAAAGTACTCCTAATCAATCTAGTGTTAACTGTCTGGAAGACCCCCTTACCCCCTTCCCCCTTCCCCCCCCCCCCCCCCAAAATTCTGATCATTTTCCTGCTCTAAGATTTCGTTTTCAAGACATCCAGAGATGTCAAGACATCATGAGATGTCAAGACTTCATGAGATGTCAAGAGATCCAAAGATGTGAAGACATCCAAAGATGTCAAGACATCCAGAGAGGTCAAAACATCAGAGATGTCTATAGTTTGTTGATCGTATACTAATACCAAGTTAAAAGGTACAATATTGATTAAAACACTCTGTTTTTTTTAAAGTTCCAATCCTTTCCAAGGCACGATGATTCATTAGCTCTGTACTAGATAAATCCCTCAAGGTACCAAAAAATGATCCTTTCCTGGATTAATTATTATCTTGTACCACTGTGAAGTGTGAAAATAGCTCATAAATTGATGTTTTTATGAAAAAAAAATCCTCAAAATCAATGTCAACATTAGACTTTTATTTGAATTTGATACATCTCCTCCTGGGAAAGGACAAACGGAAATTACTCTTACAGTACATTAAAATTCTTGAAAAGATACAATTTTCAATGGCCTTTGGGAAAGCATTAATTAAGCCTCACTTGGCCCAGGGGATTGGCCCCCCACTCACCCTCTCCTCCACCACATTCCCTTATAAAACTAAGTCCTTAAAAATACAAAAAAAAAAAAAAAAAAAAAAAAAAAAAAAAAAAAAAAAAAAACATAAAAAAAAAAAAAAAAAAAAAAAAAAAAAAAAAAAAAATTGTAGATAATCTTTTATTTAAATGCTTATCCTCTATTTAATGTGGCCCTATCCAACCCTTTTAAACGCCCTGATCTACAAAGGAAACGTATTTTCTAAAGATTGTAAAAAATAGTATCTTTAGTTTAAAACAACAACAACCCAAGACTGTAAACATCTGTAGCAGTGACGCATGTCCACACCCATGAACTCTATCTTTGGAAAATTGGCCAACACTCTCGATGTCCTTAGTTTTAAAGAAAAAACCCATCTACTATTTTCCCCTTTACAGATCCAATGAGTTTTGCGGTGTGGGTACGCCTATGTGAATTATATGACCACAATGTGTCCACGTCTTTCAGATGTTTTCCCCCGACATCGTCATCACACGTATTTATTTATAGAAAATAATGGAATAAAACGTGTATTTCACGACTGTAACATCATGGGAATTTAAGGATGTAGATATCCACATACAAATAAAACACCGTATTTCCACTCTCTGACACATGCTTTCCGTAGAACAGTGGTTCTCAACCTTTCTAATGCCGCGACCCTTTACTACAGTTCCACGTGTTGTGGTCCCCCCCCCCCCCCACCAACCATAAAATTTTTTTAGTTGTTCCTTCATAAATATGTTTTTTTTTCAATCGCCTTAGCCGACCCCTGTTTAAGGGCCAATTACTTTTTAAAACGATCTATACACGAAATTCCTCGTCTGTGAAATACTTGGGCTTTGTGTTATTGATAGCGTTATAAAATACGGCAGTTCTTGTTGTGGCCTATCTCTTGGGGCGTGGGGCAATATCTAAAAATTACAGCCCCCTCCCCTACACACATATTTGATTAAGTTTGTAATAACCATTAATGAAATCACCACCGGGATTGTAACCCCACTATGTATGCCATTAATGAAATCACCACCGGGATTGTAACCCCACTATGTATGCCATTAATGAAATCACCACCGTGATTGCAACCCCACTATGTATGCCATTAATGAAATCACCACCGGGATGCAACCCCACTATGTATGCCATTAATGAAATCACCACCGGGATTGCAACCCCACTATGTATTCCATTAATGAAATCACCACCGGGATTGCAACCCCACTATGTATTCCATTAATGAAATCACCACCGGGATTGTAACCCCACTATGTATTCCATTAATGAAATCACCACCGGGATTGCAACCCCACTATGTATTCCATTAATGAAATCACCACCGGGATGCAACCCCACTATGTATGCCATTAATTAAATCACCACCGGGATTGCAACCCCACTATGTATTCCATTAATGAAATCACCACCGGGATTGCAACCCCACTATGTATGCCATTAATGAAATCACCACCGGGATTGCAACCCCACTATGTATGCCATTAATGAAATGTGGTGGCCCTAACATTGGGGTGATAGTATGCCATTAATGAAATCACCACCGGGATTGCAACCCCACTATGTATGCCATTAATGAAATCACCACCGGGATTGCAACCCCACTATGTATGCCATTAATTAAATCACCACCGGGATGGCAACCCCACTATGTATGCCATTAATGAAATCACCACCGGGATTGCAACCCCACTATGTATGCCATTAATGAAATCACCACCGGGATTGTAACCCCACTATGCATGCCATTAATTAAATCACCACCGGGATTGTAACCCCACTATGTATGCCATTAATGAAATCACCACCGGGATTGTAACCCCACTATGTATGCCATTAATTAAATCACCACCGGGATTGTAACCCCACAATGCATGCCATTAATTAAATCACCACCGGGATTGCAACCCCACTATGTATGCCATTAATGAAATCACCACCGGGATTGCAACCCCACTATGTATGCCATTAATTAAATCACCACCGGGATTGCAACCCCACTATGTATGCCATTAATTAAATCACCACCGGGATTGTAACCCCACTATGTATGCCATTAATTAAATCACCACCGGGATTGCAACCCCACTATGTATGCCATTAATGAAATCACCACCGGGATTGTAACCCCACTATGTATGCCATTAATTAAATCACCACCGGGATTGTAACCCCACTATGCATGCCATTAATTAAATCACCACCGGGATTGTAACCCCACTATGTATGCCATTAATTAAATCACCACCGGGATTGCAACCCCACTATGTATGCCATTAATGAAATCACCACCGGGATTGTAACCCCACTATGTATGCCATTAATTAAATCACCACCGGGATTGTAACCCCACTATGCATGCCATTAATTAAATCACCACCGGGATTGTAACCCCACTATGTATGCCATTAATTAAATCACCACCGGGATTGCAACCCCACTATGTATGCCATTAATGAAATCACCACCGGGATTGTAACCCCACTATGTATGCCATTAATGAAATCACCACCGGGATTGCAACCCCACTATGTATGCCATTAATGAAATCACCACCGGGATTGCAACCCCACTATGTATGCCATTAATGAAATCACCACCGGGATTGCAACCCCACTATGTATGCCATTAATGAAATCACCACCGGGATTGCAACCCCACTATGTATGCCATTAATGAAATCACCACCGGGATTGCAACCCCACTATGTATGCCATTAATGAAATCACCACCGGGATTGCAACCCCACTATGTATGCCATTAATGAAATCACCACCGGGATTGTAACCCCACTATGTATGCCATTAATGAAATCACCACCGGGATTGTAACCCCACTATGTATGCCATTAATGAAATCACCACCGGGATTGTAACCCCACTATGCATGCCATTAATGAAATCACCACAGGGATTGTAACCCCACTATGCATGCCATTAATGAAATCACCACCGGGATTGCAACCCCACTATGTATGCCATTAATGAAATCACCACCGGGATTGTAACCCCACTATGTATGCCATTAATTAAATCACCACCGGGATTGTAACCCCACTATGTATGCCATTAATTAAATCACCACCGGGATTGTAACCCCACTATGTATGCCATTGATGAAATCACCACCGGGATTGCAACCCCACTATGTATGCCATTAATGAAATCACCACCGGGATGG